ATAGAACAAGAGGAAATGGGTATAAGCTTAGTCAGGGGAGATTCAGGTTGGATGTTAGAATTTCTTCTCTGAAAGGGTTGTCAGCCACTGGAATAGGCTGCCCAGGGGAGTGGTTGAGTCCCCATCCCTGGCTGTGTTTAAGAAAAGGGTGGATGAACTACTTAGGGATATGGTTTAATGGGGGATTAGAGACGGTTGGACTGGATGATCTCTAAGGTCTTTTCCAACCTAGAAATCTATGAATCTATGAAACAACCATATCAACAGTATCTATCTTATAATTTCCACCTTTTTATTAGATTGCCACTAACGGGATTATTGCGGTGAATGAACCTTCAAGTGAAGAAAAATATCTTGGTCAGTTTCCAGTCAGTTTTGGGGCTATTGCTCCTTTTATGGCTGACCTGGACACAACAGATGGACGTGGAAGTGTGTATTACAGAGAAGATTCATCCTCAGATGTCTTGCAACTTGCATCAGACTATATCAAAAGAGGCTTTCCTGAGACTTCTTTTGATCCCAGCAGTGTTGTCATTGTTACCTGGAAGCTCGTTGCTCCTTATCAGGCACCAGGACAAGATCACACTTTGGAAGAAAAGGTGAATGTTAATCAGAGCTTTAAGATATGTTGGACACATGTTCAGCTGAAGCGTAGCACTGTAACCGGTTGTTTTGAAAGCTTGAATTCCTTTATGTTTAAATGAATCTCGTACAGTTGAGAATGTATTTTGTTGTTGAAAAGGCGGTAGCAAAATAGGAGTTCCCAGAATTTTTACTTCATTTTTATTTTGCAGTATTTTATGCATTCAAAAGAAAATGCTTGAATCTATGTAGGTGATTTATTTGTATTCCTTGACAACTCCTACTTTGACTGTTAAGTGTGATGTGGTAATAGCTGAAATAGTAAGAGATCCTGTCCTCTATCTGTGCAATATAATCCAATTAGTTTGCGTTTTTCAACAGACTTCTAAGTCATTCAGATGTCAAACTATCTAAAATCTGGTAGATATATAGACTAACAGGAGCTTCAAACTGTGAATCCCTTTTGGATAGATGACATTGCATTCACAGAAGGGTCATGCTTTGTAGCTAATATTGAATGAAGAAGCAGTTAGAGATTATTTTTTTTGTTACTTGCAAACCATTTTCCCTTTTTAAACCGTGTTAGGTACTATCCTGCAAATATATGTAACTTTTTGCACCATAATTATCCTAGCAGATGAGCCTGTTAACAATGTATGAAGTTGAGAATGTTACCACAACTTAGCAAATCTTATTTTGTCAAAGATTGATTTCTTGTGCTTAACTTGCCACAACCATTGTGTTCACAGTAATGATTCTGCCCTCCGGTAGCAATGAATAGCTGATGTCTGAGGAAGTGTCTTGGTGGTTCCTACAGTATGTAGGAGTGTTCCTACAGGAAAATACACTTGCAGCAACACGAAACTTGAATTCTGTTTACAGAATTTTTCTATGTGGCCTAGCACATCACTCCCTTTATTTTAAGGAGATGATATTGCATCTCATGCACATTACAGAAATTAGAATTCTTAAGTTTTAGTCAGCCTCTCTGGCTATTTCCTAACAGATTTAACTTACCTTTGATAATGCTTTCTTTTTAATGTTTATGCATGCTAAAGCTAAAACTGCGTTAGCAAAATATAAGCTTTCATAGTATTGATTCCTCCTAGGAAGTACATGATGTGTTATGTATGGTAGAAATTCTGATTTTGACTTCATGTTTAAAAAAAATGTTATTCTGTTGTCTGTCTTGACTATTTTTCCTTGAGTAAATGGATGTTAAATTTTTTCCACAGAGAAACACGTTTCAGGCTGTTTTAGCCTCTTCTGAGTCCAGTTCCTATGCTATTTTCCTTTATCCAGAAGATAGTTTGCAGTTTTATAGTACATACTCCAAGAATGATGATGGAAAGATTCCTGCTATGGTTGGCTTTAGTCAAGCCTCTACAAACTACTACTTTTGGGAAAAGCCAGGATCCTATGATGTCATTGCTAATGACGAAGACAGCATTAGAAACCTGCACAAGTATGCTTTTTTGTTTGTTTAAACTCCTCAAGAAAACATCAAGGAGTTCTATGTTTTTCTTAATTGTAGCACGAGTCAATGAGAAATAATAAGACCTCATTAGCCATTGCATGAGAAATCGCAAAGTCTGCCACTGATAAATATTCACCCTCTTGAGGAATATGAGGACTTTGGTCTAATTTGTCAAAAGTCCATAGTTCCATTGTCACTGGTAGGAGCTGCTGTGTATACTTAGCCTTTCTAAAAACAGGACCACTAAAGACTTTAACTCTTTATAGTCTATCATGGGCAGTCTTTTTTTTTTGAAAGAAAAAGTGAACAAGAAGAAAAAGGAATGAGTTAGAAAGTTCTAGTAAGTGTTAGCAAGATCTTTGTGGCCCAAATATCTCCTGTCCCCATCACTTTGAAGACAAGAAGGCTAGAAATTCTCAAGAGGAGACCTCTGGGTGTGGAGAAAAAGTGCTATCCAAACTGTCAGGGGTGTTTTATAGCTGAAAAAACTGTACCTGTAGATAAGTACGTAGATAAGACAATTCAACAGTTTTGTCTCAATGAAGGATAACATTTTGTGTAGGCTAGAAATACCACACAACTGGTGCTTGATCACTTTGATTTGGCATATACTTCTCTTTGATAGAAGCAGCAATGCTGGGAAGCAAGGTGTCTGGGTGTTCGAGATTGGTAGCTCATCTGACAGTATTGTGCCTGCCAAGATCAGCCACATTTTGGAGAACCTAGAATCCAATGAACAAGACCAGGAGATGACTTCAAAACCATTTACGTCAGACTATGGCTCCACTGAAATAAGACAGCAGTATGTCACCAGTAGTACGGACAGCACAGAAGAGGATCAGCACCATGTTACCTATAGTGTTCCTCAGCTAGCTGCAGAAGACTTTCTGACTTCATACCAAGATGTAACAGGAACACCTTCAACTGAGTCTTTTTACAGTCATCAAGATTTCCCGACAGCAAAAGCTCCACCACGCCAGTTCCATGTCCAGCAGTTTCCCCCAGAGCAACCCCAAGTCATAGATGTGGAAGAATTTGATGAAACTGGTATAGGTAAGTCTTTTGTACAGCTTAAGTCCTTCTAAGATGGATAGGTTGAAAAAAAAAGCAGAGGCGTGCTGGAAACTGAACTGCTAAATAAATAATCTGTTTCCTTTGCACTACCTTCATGTCTGAAAATCTGGACACATTTAATAAGTTTGTGTTATTTATTGAGGTAGTTAACTGGGATGTCACCTCAGGTTCAGATCTTGCCAGTCTAGTAAACTAGCTCCCCAACCAAGCTCACAGGAGAGCATTTTTACAGTGTGTCTGTGGAACCTGAATCCCTCTGAAGGAAAGCTTCCTATAGAGATAATTGTATTCCTAAAGCTGACACATTCTCAGTGGGAACCAATTTCCCCATCTCTTTTGCCCAGGACTGTTGTTAAAGTCTTAACTTGATCTTAACTTTAATAGCTGCATGAAGTGGCTGTTCCTAGTAAGGATTTTATGATCAGTTCTACTGAAACCTAGCTTTTTTTACTTTCATAGATGTGCTTCTGAATACAGGTGATTTAATAAGGTTGGGAAGAGTAATTGTCGTAGAAATTGTTGGCTAGGGTTTCATGGCCTCAAGATTACAAGGTTGGGATTAGTGATTCTGACTTCTGAGGAGGTGTTTATAGAAAATTCAAAACAGTGTGACTGGCAGCCCAGATGTTAGTTGGTTCTTGAAGCAGATGTGAGAATTGCTATCTCCATGGAATAACAGGGTAAACCAATTAGGATTACAGGGTGCATCAGTTGGTGCCTGGTCCTGGGTACCATACAGATAGATGTGTTTTATTCTGAAGTTGGTAAGGGTCCTTTTTGTTTTGGTTTGGAAACAAGGACAGGTTAAAATTATTGTGTTTAGTTTCACCTAGACAGTTTAACTGATCTGTATTAATATAGATCTGCTGAAGTCAATAGAATTCAACAGTTTTCTCACATCTGAAGCCTTGATGTTTTCTGCAAAACAGTAGTCTGTTACCTGCATATTGCAAGGTTGGCAAAAATCAATTGCAATTGTTTGTTTTCCTTAAAGAGAAAATGAAAAAACTAATCAAGTGAGTCTAGAGATATTTTTAAACTAAACCCAGGGATATGTGAATACTATAGTAATTGCATAAATTATAAGTGTCTGGTCTTATTTTCTACAGTGTTTCGCTACCACACAGATGTCCAACAGACCTGTGCTAACAACCGCCACCAGTGCTCTGTTCATGCTATTTGCAAAGATTATCCCAACGGATTTTGTTGCAGCTGTATCGCTGGTTACAAAGGAAATGGCAGACAATGTGTAGCAGAAGGTAACTTCTTTGAAAATTAAGTGCGTAAGCAGCAATTACACATGGCCTTCTTGAACAAGGCAACCTGTTTTCAATACTAAAAAAGACGTGGTTAAATACTTTTTGAAAGACTTATTACTGAGATGTATTGAAAGATATTTTAAGAAGTGAGCTATGCTTTCTAAAATGGTGCGTTTTTTTGAACAAAGCGAATTATTTTAGGTGGTCGATTATATGCATTATGCATTTTAACATGACTTTCTAGAAAAAATAAATTCTTCTGTAACTGATATAATTTAATAAATAGCATAACATCTCGTGGTTTTTGCTGGATTTAGTTGTGAAGTTCCAACGTGTTATAACCTGATATAGTCTTTACTCTAGAAAGGGACAATTCAAAGGGGATGAACAAATTAACTTTGATCATCAAACTAAAGAGCATGGCTCATCTTTGTCTGACTCTTAAGCTTCTCTACTAAAGGGCTAGTCTGCCAGATTTTTGTTAGATACCCGTTTAAGCTTTGTTCCTGTGTAAAATCCATAAAGGAATTTCTTATGTTTACACTTGTAATCCTCATAGTGACTTGACTTAGAGTATAGGTGCATTTCAACAACTAAAATAGCTGACTGCAGACTTTGCATTTTATAAGGCAGGAAAGCAAAACCTACTTCTTAAATTCAACTTTATGAACCAAAATCTTCCAGAGAAACAAAAGGAGGATTTGACGATGATGGAATTTGAGTTTGCATGTAGGAAGTTGTATATAGAAGAAAAATAACAATCCAAAATAGCTACTTCTCTAAAACACAGACGGTCTTAAAATGGTCAATAGTTTTGAGAGAAGAAATAGAATAGGTTAGAATAATAGGTCAATTATTTGAACACCTAATGATGTTAGCCTTCTAATAAGGAATGAACAAGCTTACATTCAGTAGGTTTTGATATGAAGTGTCATCTTCAGAAGAATTTTCTGTATGACACTTAGAGAAGTTACTGTAAGCCACACTGTAACAGCATAGTCTGTTTATGGAGTTATCCTTGCAGACAAAACTGTTAATGAGGATAAAGAGCATCTCTTCAGGCAATTTTAGTCTCTTAGTCATCTGTGTAATGACAACACACACATGCAGGTACCCACCTACGTATGTATGTAAGCAAATTAACACACTGTACACAGTTTCCTGTCTGTTGAATTCTGTGACCATTTGTTTGCCGTTTATTTCAACACCAATATCTTTGAACGTAGTGAATGTTCTGAACACATTCCTTGGAGAGTGTGTGAGAGCTGTGGTCTTGTTCTGATGCTTTGTGTTGATTTGCCAGGTTCTCCTCAGAGAGTCAACGGAAAGGTCAAAGGAAGAATCTTTGTAGGAAATAACCCCGTTCCAGTTATATTCGAGAACACTGATCTCCACTCCTATGTTGTAATGAACCAAGGGCGTGCCTACACTGCTATCAGCACAATCCCGGAAACTTTGGGGTATTCTTTACTGCCTCTTGCCTCTATTGGAGGTATCATAGGATGGATGTTTGCTGTGGAACAGCAAGGATATAAAAATGGATTCAGTGTTACTGGTAACTTCTAAATTAAAATAATGTTCAAAAAATGTACTATGCTTTCCTCTGTCTTGAGAGAAAAGGAATATGTACTTAGGAGCAATACAGGATGAAAGCATGTTTATTCTGAGCTGCAAATGGATTGCTTTGTAATCAAACTTCTCACCATTTTTCTTGTTTACAAAGTATAGATATTGGGCTTTTTGATTTACTGTTGATGCACAAGCATGTAAGTCTGTTAGAAAGAAGAATGGCTTGGTCAGTTGCTGCGTAAGAAAGAGATTATTAAAAAGAATCTGATTTTTGGTACTAGAGTGTACAGAGCTACTGAAAAAAGCTGCCCCTACGTCTGCAAGAGCTCTCACATGTTAATTGCCTGATTGTACCAACAGAGCAAACGAGAATTGAAAATCTGACCTCATGAAGCTCTGGAATTCTTAACAGAAGCAAGTCCTGCATGACATAAAAATGATTCTGTTAACTTATTTGAGGGAAACCCCAGTTCACAATTACAGCTTTTCATAAGAGTTTTGAGGCCAAGTCTGGTTGTTTGCGCACATGAATTCAAGCTGTAGATCTCATCTGTTCTAGAAGAACATGTGTTTCTTTTTAAAATGTTATCCTCTACAGCCCTATACTATGACTTTAGTTGAACATAACTCTGTTTAGGGGTTTTCTTGGATTTGTTGTGTTTGAAGTTTGTTCTGGAATTTATAATGTACATTTCACCTGGTTTTGATTTGGAAACAGATGTACTAGTTTTTGTTGTGTTTTTTTGTTTGGTTGTTTTTTTGTTTTTGTTGTGTTTTTTTTGTTGTTTTTTGGTTTTTTAACTCACTGTATTCCTAATGGAGATTTTCTCTAAAATGTACAACTCCTGTGCCATTTTAAGTGGTAGGATAAGGCCTACTATTATTAGCTTTGTTGAAACATTTTTTTTTCTTAATTTAAACCTACTCTTTGAGGCTTACTTGCAATTTACTATGTTTGGTGCTTAACAAAAGATAGTTTCCTTGCATTATCCAAGGATATTGTCAGTATACTTCTGAAAGTTATTTCTGTAGAAACCCAAAACATTAGAAATTATGCTGCATCAAAGCCTGCAGAAAATAGTAGTTTATGTTTTATCTACTAGAAGTAATACTTTGAATAGAAGGATTCAAAAACTGCTATTAAGTGGCTTAAATAATAACTAATGTTGTTTTTTTAGGTGGCGAGTTTACGCGGCAAACTGAAGTAACTTTTCTTGGCAACAATGAGAAGCTGGTTATAAAGCAGAAATTCAGTGGAATTGATGAGCATGGTCATCTCACCATCACCACAGAGATGGAGGGCAGAATACCAGAGATCCCATCTGGTGCATCAGTCCATATAGAACCATACACTGAACTCTATCACACTTCTAGTTCTGGTGAGGTTCCCTAAGAAAGAATTGATAGGAAAGTGCACATTTCTCAGAGCAGAAAACATTATAGTATTCCCTTCTTAGTGAGTGTACTTAGGACCCTTTGATTTATAGAAAGTTGCTTTTTGTCTCTTAGAAACAGGTCCCAAAAGAAGGTGGATTTTGAGTGGGACAATGCAAATATTTCTAATCTTTTTATTGAAAAAAATATGAGTCTCACTTTTTCTGAACTGATGTTTGCAAAACTTTCTCAATTTCCCTTTCCATTTGCCTTATTTTTACACTGCTGATGGCAGTCATACAAGTTGCAAAACTTTTTGTAGGGTCCACAGCTCTTCAGTAGGAGCTGTACTAGTGTAGAGCTTTTTGTGGTAGTGTCACTAAGTAGGCTTTGGTCTTGTCCAATGAGACTGTGCAAACCAGTTATTTACCAGTATGTGTCATGTAAACTGCATTGCAATGACTGTGCCTTGTGTTAGTAACAAGCATTTGTCAGTATTATTTGAGCTGAATTTGAACAACTGACCAGAAAATTAGGAGCATCTTAATGCCCATATCGGTCTCCTCCTCTTCTCTTTTTCTCTCTCTCTCTCTTCCTTATCTCGGACGATGACATTTGGTAAGAGAACCATTCTTCATTTTACTATTTACAGGGGAATCTCCCTTCTTTTACTTTCCTCTTCCTGGATAAAATTATGGTTGTTTCAATACAGCAAAAGCAAAGTGAGATTGAAGTGTTGCTGCTGGCCAGCCAGCCCAGCTGTCAAAGAGCAATAAAGAGGCAGCAGCCTGTGGTGCACCCAGGTGCACATGAATACTGGAGAGAGTAAACTTTGCTCCAAGGGTGCACTTGGATATCTAGAGATAGCTCAAAATGGTGCAATTGCATCACCACTGCCTTGTATCTGCTAATGTCTGGTTTTGGTAGCCAGTGATGAACCCCTCTTGCTGCTTTGCCTGTTGTTATGGAGTGTGAGAAGGAGGAGCTGGAGGCAGCAGGAAGCTTCCACTTTGTGCTGAACAACTTCAGAGTTTTGGAGGAGTTGCCTGGGCAGTGTGTACTCTATAGAATGCCTGCCTTCTTGGCAGAAGTGCTGTCCCCATGGAGGAAAAGTCAGGGGCTGGAAGGATGCATCCTTCAGGCTGGATTTGATTTGTAGTTACTCAGGTAGTTACTCTTCTGCTGTCCTATGGCATATCTTATAGACCATTATTTAGCAGAAATTCAACTTTTGCCAGCTGTTGCAAGTGGGTTGACACAGGTGTGTTCTGGTGTCCATATGAAAAATAGTGGAGTTCTGAGGAGCTTACTGTTGGTGGGAGGATCCGCAAGCACAGATCTGCTTTGAAAAGTTTTGGCCACCATTTTTCGTAATATAGAAAACTGTTGTGAACCATACAAGAGCTTTCAGACGTGTCTCCTTCAGGACTCTGTCAAAATCTAAGGACAATAGACCACAATGAACTAAAAGTGGGTGTAGTTTGGTGCCGGTGAGGTTGCTCTTGTTCTTAGATTATAGATCCATTATGTAAATTCGTCTAAAGAAACCTCTGGTTTCCTGAGTTGAATTTCCTTTCTTTACCTGGTACCCACAAAGTCAAGTTAAATTTTTAAAGTAGGTCAAGATAGATTATATGACTTATTTCTCCTCCTGCTCTGAGAACAGAGCAGGCCTAATTAAGTGCCTATTCCTTTACATGGCAATACATCCACTTTCACAACTTCTTGCCTTTGGAATTTCTCTTTACACTACTCAGCCTATATCCTAAGTCTACAGATAGCATTGGGCAGAGTATTTTTGCCTTCTGTTCTGATCAACCTGTTTGTTGCCGTCTTGCAGTGATCACTTCATCATCCACCAGAGAGTACACGGTGACAGAGCCAGAAAGGGACGGGGTTGCTTCCACATACACGGGCGCTTATCAGTGGCGACAGACCATCTCGTTTGATGAATGCATTCATGATGACTCTCACCATGCTGCTTCTGCGACTCAGCAGCTCTCAGTGGACAGTGTATTTGTCCTGTATAACCAAGAGGAGCAGATTCTGCGATATGCTATGAGTAATTCCATCGGCCCAATCAGTGGTATGTATGAATTGAAAATCTTTCTATTTCTCTTTTGTGAGTAGTTAAGAGCAGGCTTCTTTTTTTTTTTTTCTTTTCTGCCTTAGCTGGGTTAAATTAATGAGTTATATTAATTTGTTGCATTAGTCAGTAGAAGTCTAGGTCCAGAAATTAAGAAGATAAATGGGACTGGTGAAAGTTTGTCTTTTCACTTGGGAGAGAGTATAAACTTTATTGAATTTCAAGAGGGGATAATATGTTATATCCGTGAAATACTTTCAGTGTACCACCTTGAATCTATTGCTGCTCAGATACATGGAGTGTATTATTTACATGATTTATAGTTCCTCTGTTAATCAATTTTTTTTTATATTGTCAGAGCAAAGGACAGAAGAAGGGAAGAAGATTTGGCATTGAAATAGCTAGTTACTGTAATTTATCTTGAAACATAGCATTTTATTTTGGGAAGTGCATTTTTTTGGATGAGCTGTCCAAGTTTGTCTGTTTGCACTAAAATCAGAAAAAAAGCAAAGGAGCAATTCGAAAACACACACCAGATGAGTACAAGAAGGAACTGTGCTCTTTTTCGTTTGTTACAAAGATAAAGTTCTACTAATTAAAAGGAACAAAGCAAGCTACTAAGAATCACACTTTGGGTCTAGTGTCAGTGGCTAGAAGATGTGTTATCTTTGTTAGTCTTGCTCTTTAGAGAGGTTTTTGTGACTTCTCTTTTTTTTAAACTCTGCAGTCCTTTGCATGAGTAACAAGGAATACAGATGCTGTTGCCATGTCTGAGATTCATGTCCTACATATCACCTACTAGTCCCCTTCTTCCTGTTGCAAAAATATTCTTTCCTTGCTTCATGTGCTCTACAAGCAACCTTCTTCTGGGCCTTGTCTGAGCACTATTACCTGGATAGAGTTGTCATGATTAAATATGATCTTTCTTGTCAGATGGTTCTGCTGATATTAACCGGAATCCTTGCTACACCGGTATGCATAACTGTGACACCAATGCGATATGTCGTCCAGGAACTGGAAATCGTTTCTTCTGCGAATGTTCAGTTGGCTTCCATGGAGATGGAAACGTTTGTTACGGTATCAGAAAACTTTCATTACAAAATGACAGCTAATGTAGCATTTGGTTTGCTTAGAATGTATTGACGCTCAGGACTAGCCATTCCAGCAAAATGAACTGGCCTGAGGGTGGTTTTGGGAAAGACAGGTTACAGTGATGCTGGGGTATCTGATGTAACTCAATAATTAAAGTAAGCAAGTTGGACTGTCTTGAAGAATCAAACTTGGGTATGTTTTGCTAGATTACAAAGCATCTTTCCTACCTAGTGTGTCTTTTCATAAAACTTGTGGGAACTTGGCTGTGAGAAATTTATTGTTCTGCAAGTTCCAGTTAAAATGAGTCAACTGGGTTAAAAATTCTTGAGGGAGATGAGGAATTGTGTATGCACGTGTGTAAGGAGTACAAATATGTGGAACTCATTGATATAATCTTTTCCAAGATCTGCTTTGAAAATCCCTTCTGTTCAAGGAGACTTTTGTCTGTACGCCTCTGTATTCTTGATGTATTTGGGTTTTATTTTATAATCAAATCACAACACAAATACTTGTTTTCAAGAGGTGAAAGTATGTATTAGTGAAATATACATCACCCCTATTAGTTAACCGAGTCGTTTCTTTAATAAAAAAAAAAAAAAAGAAACTCAACCCTGACTCTGACTCCAATCCTAAAATCAACTTGCAGATAAAAACAACAACATCACATTGTCCCTCCCAGTCCTCTTATGCTGTGAGTTGAGCAGCAGTGGATTAGAGATCATAGAATCATAGAATACCAGGTTGGAAGAGACCCCAAGGTTCATCTGGTCCAACCTTTCTTGGCAAAACACAGTCTAGACGAGATGGCCCAGCATTCTGTCCAGCCAAATGTACATGGATAATGAAAGGGGAAGTCTTTCCTAAAGTTTGTGCTGCTCCAGTAGTCATCACTGCTTCTGGTCACCTTGTAGGCTGCATTTTCTTTCTCAGTGGCTCTTCCTTCCTCTCTGATTTGGTCTTCCTTTATCACTTCATTATAGAACCTCTTCTGGTTTGGTTTTTTTTTTTTTTTTTTCACATCAGCTGAGAGCGCAGTTACTAGTTTTCAGGTTACCCTATCTCTTAAGAGATACGATCTATTCAAGGTGTAGTTTAAATACACAAGCCTGCTATTATGCAACAGTTACACAGTTTCTGTTTTTCTGGCATCAGTATGAAATGCATCTTTGTAATAACTGGAATTCTTATAATACTCTAGATGTTGATGAATGTTCAGAGCAACCAGACCTATGTGGCAGCAACGCAGTCTGTAATAACCAGCCGGGAACCTACCGCTGCGAGTGTGTTGAAGGATACCAGTTTGCAGCAGATGGGCGGACTTGTGTTGGTGAGTTTCATGTTTCTTGAAAGCACTGCCCACCAGCTTTCAGGCTGTGGTTTATCTCACAGAGACAGAAAACAGAGCTTCTGGGATCTGCACTGACTTCTAACGTGAATTGAATTCAGGAGTTCATGCTGCAGTCAGTGCTTACAATCCATTAGGTAACCATAGAAGGTGCCTGAACTACTTTGTTTTATCTCATAAAAATTCCCCACTCAGAATGTTTCCAAATAGAAAGTGGAAATGATTATTGACTGCTTCTGTCTTTTCTGTACCATTATTTAGCTGTAGATTTCACACGGAAGAAAAATTCAAATTTGTAAAAGAAGAAAAATTAAAGTGAGCGGTTATTAATTTGCTGTTATTTCATAGCATCTCACTGTCAAGATGTGTAGGGCTTTTTGTGCATTTCCTGTAGTCCTGCACTTTGGCTTTTGGCGGTTTTGGGTTTTGTTTCTTTCTTATATCTAATCCAGAATTAGATTTAACAAATTATATTTTAGTTACAGACTCATGTCTTGGACAAGGCAGTGCACAGGTCTAAACCAGCGTGCCTTGGCTATTGCAGGCTGAAGTGATAGTTAATCATGCTGAAAATGAATTACAACTACAGATCATTTCACTGTTAATCTTTGAAATTTGGAGGAAATCTAGCTGGTTTGTCAATGGAACAATAAAACTTCAAATTCAGTAGTTGTCACTGAATTAGTTATTTAATTTAAAAAATTTTCTGGAGGAAGCTTGAGTTAATCTGTGCTTGCTGGAGTAAGATTGTCCTAACAACAGATATTTTTCCTATTTGCTCTGTTTTTCACAAAAGTTGTAGAAATTCCATTTGGTAGCTGGCAGAATTGCAAGATGATTGTGTAGGATGTGTATTGAAAATGAATTTTCCATATAGAAAGAAAAACCATGAACTTTACCCTTTAGAACATTAATCTGATTCTTTTGGGTGTCATTTACATTGCAAATGTCAAAAGCCAAATAAAAAAAAAAATCTACAGATGGCGGATAAAAGAGGAGTAATGACTCTACTGCTAGAGCTGCAACTGTCAGCATTGGATATAGATTAGATTATTTATTGTTTTTTTTTAGTTAGAATTTTTGTCTTGGTTTTTAACCTGACAGTAATTCTGTGCTGATAAAACCTACACACACACTTTCAGTATGATTGGGCCAGTTCCTGTTTCTTTTGGAAATAACTTTTAACAGCTGAGGATTATGTTTGCTTCTGTCATGACTGCTTTGTGGTGGAAGCTTAGTTACCCTTTGATGAGCTAATGCATTCAGGTCTTTCCTCATTATAACCAAGACTGTTCTTCAGCTAAGACTGAGGAGCCTTCATCTTGCAGCAGAAAGCTGCATTACTTCATAGAATCATAGAATCATAGAATGGTTAGGGTTGGAAGGGACCTCAAAGATCATCTAGTTCCAACCCCCCTACCATGGGCAGGGAAACCCTCCACTACACCAGGTTGCCCAAAGCCTCATCCAACCTGGCCTTGAACACTGCCAGGGATGGGGCATCCACAACTTCTCTGGGCAACCTGTTCCACTGCCTCACCACCCTCTGAGTGAAAAATTTCTTTCTTATATCTAATCTAAATCTGCCCTCTTTCAGTGTAAATCCATTGCCCCTTGTCCTATCACTACACACCCCCATAAAAAGTCCCTCTCCAGCTTTCCTGTAGGCCCCCTTTAAGTACTGGAAAGCTGCTATAAGATCACCCCGGAGCCTTCTCTTCTCCAGGCTGAACAGCCCCAACTCTCTTAGCCTGTCTTCATAGGAGAGGTGCTCCAGCCCTTGGATCATCTTCGTGGCCCTCCTCTGGACTCGTTCCGGTAGCTCCATGTCCTTCTTGTGTAGGGGAAAGACTTCCCTTATGTGCGTGACTTTGCTGTGTATTACCTTTCATCAGGAGCCCCATTTCTCTGCTCCAGTAAGAATTGCCATTCATATCTGCTCACAGTGCACCCTAAGTCTCCCCCTTGCTGCAGAACAGTTGGAAAAAGCAACTACTTCTGTCTGGACACTGGAAGGGATAGGGTGAGATGTGGAAGAGCAGCTTTATGTTCTTTCCATTACGTGCACCACTGCCCTTTTGTCACTTGGATCTGAAAAGGAACGTTCTTCCCTCCATCCATGACCTTGTTGGCTTCACTCTACCACTCTCCCATGAAGTCAATGTGTCATACTTCTAACAAGTGCAAAGTAATCCATTGCCCAGCTTAAAGGACTTCAGTTTGATCCCTTCCTTCAATGAAAACTAAACTCTGCATCTGTAAGACTGAAGAGAGGGAAGACGAATTCTAGTTTCTCAACAGATTGAAAATAAATGTCATGATAATCTTGCTCCCCTTCCACAGGGAAAGGTTTTATAACTCACAGACAACTTGAACCCCAGAAAAGGCAACAGCTACCCTCTTTGTGTTTTTGCAGCTTGCTCTGAGATATCAGCTCTGACTCAGCTTTTCTGAAATTGCAGCTTTTTCATACCAGCTGTGTGACTCACTGGATAGCTTTAGAACAGAGATGTAAATAAATCCTCTTCTTGTATTTATAGGCTGAGGAATAGGAGGACTTGGGGACTCCCTTTGAGCTCCAGCTCCAAATCTTACGCATTTATAATGCAGTTCTAAATAGATTATTTTGTAATGTAAGACTTACTTCATCAAACTACAGATGTAAATGATTCGAACAATCATGTCATCTCCTCCAGAGAAATAGAGAAAACAACTGTTTTCAGATCTGGCTCTGATGGCAGATTTTTGGTACTTCCCTGCTGATGCTGTGGTAGCTTCTATCTGCTTACTGTGATGAAAGGAGCATTGTAGAGTCTTGACGTGGTCCCCTGTCAACTCTTCATAAGAACTGCATAAAGAAAGCCCCAGTGGATTCTGTTACAGCAACTGAAATTGTATTTCAAGATGTACACACTGCAAATTCATCTGTTTCTGGACCAAAAATATTTTTAGAATTTTGTCTCTTTCTATCTTAAATACCATGGTTTCCTTTCCTCTTTTCTGATATAGCAGGTAAGCGTAGGCAGGGCTCCAGCAACAGCCTGAACTAATTTCTGTGTAAAGCAGTTCAATGCCTTCAGAGTCACTGCTGTCAACAATGAGAAAATTATGAAAAGCTGCAGGACTGGTCCCAGCTTCCACAGTTGGTCAAAAATGTCTTCAGTAGTTGACAAATATGTTTATCTTCTATTGAGTGAGTCACGGCTCCTATCTGTTGCCAAGTGATGACAGCGCTGGGTCAGGGCTAAGTTAGTGTAGAGGGATATCTAATCCCAGTGCAGTGAACTGGCCACTTAGCAAACATACGAGGTACCTCTGTGAGATGCCTTACATTTCTTCATCTTCATCCAGGACTCCTTTTTATAAACAAAACTGTCATGAGTATTAGGATCTGTCACTGTGGGAGCCTCTCTGCCCTGTTCTATATTAACAAGTAACTGTGAAGTGCTGAGGACAATCAGTGCCTTGTAAAAGATCAATAAGAAGACTTAACACCAATGAAAGAGGAGATCTGGGCAAAAAAAATCCCAACCCCCAAACCAAAATGCTCAGTTTCCTTGGTTCCTTTCTCTTCTATGTGCATTCACAGCTGTTATTTTCTCCCTATAAACTTACTATGAGCTTCAGACTTTGTGGAGGAAAATTCTAATTTTCATCTCCTCTCTTCTACATCTAACCTGCAGCTGTTGAGTATGTTGTAAACCATTGCGAGACAGGCACACACGATTGTGACATTCCTCAGCGCGCTCAGTGTGTGTACACTGGAGGATCCGCCTACATCTGCACATGCCTCCCTGGCTTCTCGGGAGACGGGCGTGCCTGTGAGGGTGAGTAGCACCATTTGTTGTGGGGTTTTTATACTCTCTATTGCACAACTTGGCTGGTCATGTCAATGTCCTATAGTTACTTGTGATTCAAAGTAGGAACTTTCGTTGTTTAAGTCCCTTAGACAGGCATTGCATTAAGGTTTTTTGTCCTTTCCTCCTCTCACTTTTGAATTCACTCTTTAATATTTAAGCTGCAGAAGGTCCAAGATGAGGTAAATGCAGAAACTGCAGTAGTTGCAGTTAGCAGACCAGATCTTCATCTGCTGGAACTGTTTGCACTCTAATGCTTTATATTACTAAGGTGGTGACACATGATGCTCAGACATCAATTGAATTTCATGTCAATTGGAGTGTAGTGGGGGAGCAGCTTTACCTAACTACATATTTTGACCTTGCTGGTCAAATCCTACTTCTTTGGCCATGTTAAGTCTTTTCCTTGAGAAACATGGGCATGTGTTTCTAAAATACTGTGCGAGTTAACAATGCTGGTTACCCATCAGAATAGCAGAGTGCAGGGATTTGCTGAGAGACAGAACACAAAATACACGCATGCTTTTTTTTTTCTTTTTTTTTCCTCCTCCTTTGCATTTCTGTATAGATGTTCTTCCAAAGGTCTGTAATTCTAATCAGATATCCTAAAATAGAAACCTGAAAGTAAAATGGCAGGTTTGCACTTTAATTCACTGATTTGTCCATCAGGAGGAACAGTTATCTGAGACTGATCTTTTCTTTTACAGATGTAGATGAATGTCAACAGGGCCACTGTCATCCAGATGCTTTCTGCTACAACACTCCTGGGTCCTTCAGCTGCCAGTGTAAGGCAGGTTATCGTGGGGATGGTTTCCGGTGTGTGTTAGGAGGTAAAATTTTATGGTTCTTGAAAGTTGGATCAGAAATATAATTTGGGAGTTGGAGGTTATATGCTAATTTGTTTTCTCTCTGAAACGGAATGTGTATTGTCTTATTGGGTCCTTTATTCTCTCTCAAGTCTTTCAGGTTTTGAATTTCACCAAGCTTGTGTTAAAATCTGTGTCTTGACTGTTATTACTTTTCCACGATATCCTGTTCAATGTCCCGTTTTATGTTTTGTTCTGTCCTCAGCTGTTCTCAGCCCCAAGCTGATGCTATTTTTTGAAGTTGCCTTATGTAAAGGTTTGACCACAGATTGATTTGGTTTGCATACACAGTAGTCACTTATCAGAAAACAACTTGAACTGTTGGCGATGTAAACAAAATGCAACAATTACCGGAGAAAAGGAAGGATGAGACCAAAGTACATGCGCTGTTGACTTCAGTGGAATCTAAGTGCCTACATGCCATGTATAGCCAGCAAGAGTCCAGAAAGGCTAACTCCAGTTTCTAACTAACACTTAGTTGTTTCTGTATTTACTCAGCTTATTCTGTATTTAGCAGAAAGTTCTTTACCCTCCTGCACTTCTGTTCTTGCATTGTAGTTTGGGCCTTGAAGTATAAAACTCCTAATCTTGAAGATATATTTAAAAAAAAGAAAGTAGGTAATACTAAAGCACAAAGTAGCTTTGTTATCGTTACTCGATTTCAAAAGCGCAGCAAACCTATAGGACAGCACTTAGAATGGTGAATGTTTTCACCCAGGAAATAAAGCCTAACTTCTGAGTATGTTCAAACCCAGTTCTCCTGCTTCTAAGATTCTTGGTGTTGGGGAAAAGACCCTGCACCTCTCAACAGACTTAAACTCAAACTGTGCAGCCAAGAGTAAGAAAGGCGTAGGGCCAAAGGGAATGAAAGCAAGAAGCAATATGACTGAGGAGGGAGGCTGTCTTTATAATTCAGCTTCTGCAGTGTGGTCTTAATGATGTCTACAGTATTTGATGATGCAAAATTGAGGGGTTTTTTTAACAGTGGATGTGCTGGCTTAGAAGTACTTGTCTACATGGCACAATATTACTACCTGATGTTTTGCTGAAACTTAATATTTTTCTTTTGCCACTATATTCCCTAATTCTGAAGTTCTGACTCTTTTTGTACAATCGGATACTCATGTCATAAAATAAAAAGGCAAAGGATCATTTATAGGAAAGGCATAAAAAAATTGCAAGATTGTTTCTGGTTTTAGATCATACTTACATGACTCTTAATCATGTGCTCAACAACACGTTACATCAAATCACCCAGTGCTTGTAGACTTTTCTATCATAGGTACATTGTAAGATGTGTTTCTGTGTTTAATTCTGAAGGTCTAGATTTTGTCAGTCTTTCAATATTACTTTTAATGAACTTTTCATGCATGAATGCCCATGTGTATTTTCGTATTAATGCCAGATGAATGAAGAACTACCTAGTGTTTCGGACCTTTGTCATAATATTTAGCTAACCAACCAGTTGATTAAACCAGGATTATTCCTCTTAGAGGAGAAACTTGATGTGAATAACTTGAAGCAAAATCAAACTTTAAAGCTTCCAGTTCTTCAGGAAGATTTGTAGAGGCAGAAATATTGCTTTCAAGTCTGGCCCATCCCCATCTCCTTTGTAGCTGAAACAGATGATTTGGTAGACTGATACTTGAATTCAACCAATCAACTTTGTTACCAGGACACAATTAATTTCTCCTGAGTATATGTGATAGCGTATTTAAGTGGGTTTTTTTGTTGTTGTTGAGAACAACACCTTTTCATATGCAGTGGTTAGTGTGTCTACTGAACTGCTAAGCACAGTGTACTGTTTTGTAGTAGCTTTATGTCATTTTTTTGCTGCTTATCCTGTGCACTTCTTGACTTTCCATACTCAACACAATTGTATCTTGAATGGGGATCTTTCCATGTCACGCTTTAATGGTACTAACATGACATTTTGGAAAGTTTTGTTGTATCTGTTTTAGTGGGTGGGGATCTGCCAGGTTTTGTTAGTCTTCATGTATGCATCCCTGATTTTTTTTTAATGCTGTTTGGTTCTACCACTAGAAGACATGCTTTAGAAACTCTTGTATCAATTGACTGTGCTCATGAAATGCTCTGAGCAGAAAAAAATCTGAGTAGAGAAGAAGCCTCACTTTTGCTGAATCCTGACAGAAGTACAGAGTATCTGTAATGTTCTGCTAGTCTGCAACAATGGCGGTGTTTACAACCAACTTAGCTACTCCTCCCTTCTTACAGAGTTAATAGAACAATAGCTGCCCTTGGGTTGTCATCTGTTGCTAAAGCTTTGGTACTTTTAAAATTGATATATCCAACAGTTAATCATTGCCAGGAGATAGAATCAAAGTATACTTTCTGAAGCCTAGCAAAAAGCAGCTTAGTTTACTTTAGCACTCAATTTGTAAAGTAAGTTGCTTCAGAGTGGAGATTCCAGATGAGGCTGTATTGTATTCAGCTGTAATTAGAGACCCTTTCTTCCCATTTTTAGCCATTAAGATTTTGATCTAATTAGCCTCGGTCAAGTCACTGAAGTCTTTCCTGGTTGTTAATTGCATGGAAAGTTTCATTCATCCGAATACTCGGTTCTTTTTGCTGTACTCTTCTGCGATTCATGTGTACAATTGCTTGCTTGTTTGGTGTTTGTTTTTTTGAAACCTACTGTTGAATCTTATTACTGCTGAACAGCAACTCTTGAAACAAGCAGACCAACAAGTAAAGTGGATTTGAGTCACACACAGGAGAATGTCTGTAGGAGTGAACCAGCAGGTTAATGAAAGAGTTAATGATGCTGGAATGTCCCACTGCTCATAGCTATTAAGAAAGTCTGTACTTCATTATTTCCTCACGCTTCATTTTTCCATTTCAAAAAACCAGATGTCTGAATGTTTCTACCCCTGCAGACCCCAGACACTGTTTACTAAACAGAAACAAATCTAGATTCTTGGAACTAGGGGTCTGACTGTTGGAAGCCATTTGCTGCTCCTCTGTATACAATCCATTTCACATGAGAAATGCACATACAGAAATTGCGTACAGGGCAAAACTGTAAGGGAAGAATTACAAAAGAAAATGAAGGGATGAAGGGAAGTGTGTTATTTTGTTTAGTTTTTTTCCTCTTCTTTTTTTGGCAATGTCTGAGAACAGCAATTAAAAATGTCACTGTAACTCCTTGTGATATGTGGGGAATAAAGTGATCAACATAGGAAATTGAAAAATACTCTTTGATTACGTACTGATTCTGGACACAGTTTTAAATGACTTCTGTCTTTAGCTTGTGAATGAAAACCTGTTTCAGTAGTTCTTGAGTAGATACTTAAAAATTTTTGGATGCTGTTGCAAAACTAATTGAATTTGGTTTAGCATATCAGACTGTAATCCCCCCTGCAAAATGGAAGGGAAGAAGTCTCATACATCTCTGTTTCTCATCCTGTTTTCTCAGCCTCCCTCTTTTTTTGGAAAGGTCCATAAATCATTTTCTGCAGTGCTGCTGCAAGAGCTTTCCTTTATGACCAAAAAAGACTTTGAATGTTTGTATATGGCTTTAGGTTTGGATTTTTTTTCCATTCTGTTTATTTCTTTGCTTATGTGGGAAATGTGTACATGTATGTTTTTCACCTGGCCCGCTTTCCATATCCATGCTATTTCCATTTAATTTTTTTCAATTATATATTTCAGTGACTTTTAAATTCCAGATTTCTACTGGTAGTTTATGAAACTGAAAAAAAAATGTTTAAAACATTAAAGAAAAATTCATTATTCTGAGGAAGGGTACACATTTGGCTTGAGTTCAGGATGCACTGTTCTTCATATCTAGTCTGACTTGTACATACTGTGGTCCATGGAACATAACTTCATCAGGCATTTGATCTCTATTCTGCACTACAGCTTCTCTATTAGGAGCTCTTTTCTGTACGCTGGTTCGATTTTTCACTGTCCTTTTGAACTGTGGTTACCGGAGCTGGACCTAGTATTCCTTGAATCGTCTCCCCAGACCCACATTGCTTCTTTGTACCTGTGTGGTGTTCCCTATGTATGTTCTGAATTCTTATTTACATCCCCTCGCAATCCCTACAGCAGTGAGCCTGGGTACTGGCAACTTATCTGCTCCCAGTTATCTGCTGTAGATAGCTTTTTTTTTTTTTTTGGTTGCTATTTCCAAGATAAACTCATCTTCAGAGGCTGGTCTCACCATGTATTCCAAGAAGTGTAACTTTCCATTTGACTGTCTGAATCTACTTGTTGATTTAATTAATTAAGTCAGTTTACCTAGTGAAGATATCCTGTCCTCCTCGTGTTTTGTGGTCTATTGCTCTTCCACAAGAGATGCAACCTGGGATTGTATATTACCCTCTGGAATCCGAATGAAGAAATTAAATTTCTTAATAAGAAAATTTAAAACAAAGACTAAGGTAATATTGGAACTTACTAGAAATACCACTACTTCATGATATTTGTCCACTGACTTAGGTGATTTTTCCATTTTTACCCCATTTATCAAATTAACGTAGCCCACAGTATGGTGCTTTGTTTCAAAAATGTTACTGTCCTGTGGGCGTAAGTAGGGTCCCATAGGGAAAAGCAGAGCTACTAGGTCGGTGTGTTACCTTCATCAGCCAAGCATCAACTGCATCAAAAAGCAGTGAGAAAGGATTTTTACTCGATTTTATACCAAAAGCTAATCAGTAATATTTAAACATAGATACTGAAAAATATTGAAACTTAGTCTGGCTGTTAATAAAAGGGTGTTGCCACCCTTATTTTCCTGCATCACTGAAGATTACATGAGTCTTTTTCTTAGTGTTTATTTAATCTCTGGCACTATGAACTAATCCTAGTGTATACTATTTTTTTCATCATTGATATGATCACTTCGCTTGGCTTTCAAATGTGGGTTTCGAAAATGGTAAGAACCTCTGAAAGTCAAGACTGGTAACCTCTGGATGTGAAGCCTTGAAGTAGTCATGACTTGTTTTCCATTTACTACAATCAGATGTAGCAGTAAATGCAACGGCACTGTTATACTAGTTAAGTGTTGTTTCATAGAATCATAGAATGGTTTGAGTTGGAAGAGACCTCAAAAATCATCTAGTTCCACCCCCCCCTGCCATGGGCAGGGATACCCTCTACTACACCAGGTTGCTCAAAGCCTCATCCAGCCTGGCCTTGAACACTTCCGGGGATGGGACATCCACAACTTCTCTGGGCAACCTGTTCCAGTGCCTCACCACCCTCAGAGGGAAGAATTTCTTTCTTGTATCCAATCTAAATCTCCTTTCTTTCAGTTTAAAGCCATTTCCCCTTGTCCTACGACTACATATCCTTGTAAAAGGTCCCTCTCCAGCTTTCTTGAAGGCCCTCTTTAAGTACTAGAAGACTGCTATAAGGTCTCCCTGGAGCTTTCTCTTCTCCAGGCTGAACAGCCCCAACTCTCTCAGCCTGTCTTCGTAGCAGAGGTGCTCCAGCCGTCGGATCATGTTCGTGTCCCTCCTCTGGACTCGCTCCAGCAGCTCCATGCCCTTCTTGTGTTGGGGGCTCCAGAGCTGAAGGCAGTATTCCAGGTGGGGTCTCACGAGAGCGGAGTAGAGGGGCAGAATCACCTCCCTTGACCTGCTGGCCATGCTTCTTTTGATGCAGCCCAGGATATGGTTGGTTTTCTGGGCTGCAAGTGCACATTGCCGGCTCATGTTGAGCTTCTCATCCGCCAGCACTCCCAAGTCCTTCTCCTCAGGGCTGCTCTCAATCCATTCTCTTCCTAGCCTGTACTTGTGCTTGGGATTGCCCTGACCCAGGTGTAGGACCTTGCACTGGGCCTTTTTGAACTTCATTAGGTTCTCACAGCCTGTCAAGGTTTCTCTGGATGGCATGCCTTCACCTCTCAAGCCTGTCAAGGTTTCTCTGGATGGCATGCCTTCCCTCCAGAGTGTCCATAACACCACACAGCTTGGTGTCATCTGCAAACTTGCTGAAGGTGCACTCGATCCCACTGTCGATGTCACTGACAAAGATGTTAGATAGCACTGGCCCCAGTACTGACCCCTGAGGAACACCACTTGTCACTGGCCTCCACTTGGACATTGAACCGTTGACCACAACTCTTTGAGTGCGACCATCCAGCCAATTCCTTATCCACTGAGTGGTCCATCCGTCAAATCCCTGTCTCTTCAGTTTAGAGACAAGGGTGTTGTGTGGGACAGTATCAAATGCTTTGGATAAGTCCAGGTAGACGATGTCAGTTGCTCTTCTCTTATTTATCAATGCTGTAACCTCATCAACTAGTCAGGCAGGATTTGCCCTTAGTGAAGTCGTGTTGGCTGTCACCAATGACCTCCTTATATTCCATTTGCCTTAGCATAGTCGCCAGGACGATCTGCTCCATGATCTTGCCGGGCAAGGAGATGAAACTGTAGCTCCCTGAGTCTTCTTTTTTCCCCTTAAAGGGAATGCCAGCACCTGAACAGGGACTTGAACCCTGGACCCTCAGATTAAAAAAAGTCTGATGCTCTACTGACTGAGCTACCCAGGCAACTCCTATGGTTCTTAGCTCTACTTGTTGTAGTTAATGGAAGTTTTCTTCATGCCAGTCAAGAGATCAGAGAACTGTCCTGGTGTCAATTGTTCAGTATCTTCTAAGAGTCTTGACTGGATGAAATACCACTGTATTTATATTAAAGGAAGAGCACTAAGAAACCTCATTTAGGCTGCTGTACTGAAGGAAAGTTACTAGCCATGAGGTTTGTGACTGGAAGTTTACTTACAAAGTGGCCCTTATATGACCTAAATATGTGCCCATTCTTGTTACATGTTTTGTTTAATTTGTGCTGTTAGCTCATCAAGGCAGGGAAGGTGCTTTATTTATTGTGTCAATCTCATCTTTCAAACTCTGTCATAGCTAGCTTCATTTCAGACAGTCAATTAATGCAATTTAAAGCTTGCAAAACGAGAGCATCTTCTCTCAAGCACACTGACTAAAACATATGACAATATATGCAGACTATTCATCTCAATCAGCTGTCATCCATGTCAAAGATTATTGTGCCTTCATTGCTGCATAGGCTACAACACTGGACTGGGATTCAGCTCACTTTGCTTTTGATGTCTCTAAATTGTAAGCATAGTAATCCTGCTCATGATTCAGAAATAAGGAGAGAAAAAATACAGTATGGGTTCCAAGTGCCTGGTTTGGCCTATCATAACTAGTTTAGGGGCTTGTTTTGTTTATAAATTTTAATATTGGCTAAATTCATGTTAGTGTGTTGAAATGAGTTTAACATTGAAAGGTTAAAATGATTGAGTCAGCACAGATGAACGTGGTAACACTGGTTTTCTTTCTTTTCAGAATGTTTCTTTAACATATATTTCTTATCTTACTCGATTCTGTTAAGAGTTTATCACAAATTTAAGAGACTTTCAGCAGCACAGAATCAGTAACATACATAGTTATTTCTAAAAGTGACTGGCAATAGAGTATTCAACATCTTTTCATACAACTGAAAAAATCAGTGGTGATGGGATTTTTTAGAAAGAACAAACATATTCTCTGCCTTCTAAAAACTGAGTACTAATTTTGAAAATTAATTTGTTTGACTAGTCTCTTGACTTCAGGGGGGCTAATTGCATAAGCAGGCCATTTGTGAGATTGGTCTTGATCATAGCAATGTAAGTACTCTTCAAAAATTCCATCAGTATTCCTGTATAAAATCTGTAGATATAATTGTGAACATTGCCTTGAAATTAGAACAAACAGTGATATTTCAAGTCACCAATAATACTAATATATTTTATGTATAGTGGCTGGGTCCTGTCTGGGAGTGTATACACAGTCCTTTGTATAATTCTTACTTGTTAACTCATTTTCATAAAGTTGATCTAGTCTATTGATTAAAAAACCTGTGAGCTGTTGGATATTCTCTGAGATTTTCGGACGGGAAGGAAAAATGACGAGCTTTTACTTTTTTTTTTAATATCCCACTGAGGAGGAGCTAGTAGTGTCTCTCAAACATTACGTGAATGCAATGAAGATATTGTTCTGTAATGAACAAAAGCAGTGTGGGTCAGTTTATCAGTGTGCTGTATTCCCCCTGCTTTCTCTCATGAGCGGTGCATATAATTAAAGCTTTCAAAAAAAAAAAAAAAAGTGGCATGACTCATTACTGGAATCAATATTTCTTTTACCTGCATACTGCACAGTGCATTGAATACATGCAAACAAATTTTGAGATAGGTACTGGAGGCTTTCCTTCAGAGTCTGGTTTTGTAGATTGATTCAAGGCTCTCCACCACCCACATTAAAGCTGATGCCAAATATTTCAGTTGTTCAGAGTGAGCTGTTCTTCAGACATTTCTGTTTCTCTAATTGTGTCCAGGTGCATGAAACTTGTCCAAAGTCTTTGCTTACATAACTAGTTTAAATAATAATAAAAAACTACCCTTCTTTTTTGTATTTGTGTGATTTATGCCACAGTAGTCTGTGGGCACATGGGATTAGCTTTTTGCTCATCTGGACTGGATCTCATCTGAGCCATACATAGCTAATGCTGTCCACCAGGCAAGGTAAAAACAAGGAAGGAGTAAATGGGAACGTAAAGTTAAAGCTTTTTCAGCAGGCAATTTGTGTAAGTGTTTCTGTCTGTAGAAATCATTGTCAGGAAAAAGATACTCCCACATAATTAGAACTCTTTCTCTCCCAAAACCCTCAGGGTTGTCAAGTGTAAGCCAGAGCCAGTCTAGAGAAGGAAAAAGATTATTTTTTTATTGTATTATTTTAATTTCATTATGTTGTTTGACATCTAGAAGGATATATTGATCCAGATGACATTCCCTATCGCATGACAGATAATACCTTAAAAAGATGTCTATATTACTCCAGACTGTTTTGTAAAATTGAAACCAAAATAATCAAATCCCTGAATCACCTGATAATCTGGAAAGTTAGTCTTTCCTCTCTGGTCTCCACAGTAATATATATGCCTGTGGTGTAGCCTTACTTATGTGCTTTACCAGGGACTGGACAATCTGTCCCTGCAATTCCTTTCTTAGATCCAAAAGTATCAAATGAGTGCTCAAACTTGATAACTGAACTCTGTAAACCTAATATACATCAAAGCAATGGGTTATTTCCCTGCCTAGGTTCTGTAAAGAACTCAACATCTGCCTCATGTTGTGGTTTTCTCTGGTGGCTCTGAAGGGAAACTCGACTTTTTGCATTACAAAAAAACCTTGATCTACTGTATGGCTGGCTAATTAGTCACATTTTAAGGCGAATAGATAATTACCAAATAAGTAGACATCAGGTTTGCAACTCAGACAGAATGCTCTTGCTAGTGTACCTCAAGAAGAAAGTGTTTTCCAGCTTCTGTTTTTGATGCTTCAACATAGGAAACTGCAGGGGGGCTGTTTTTTCTCTTTTAACCTACACAATGAAAGATGACATGACATAATTTTAAGGCAAACGTGTCACATTTACAAAGGGAAGACTGTTCCTCAAGGTGCACTGAGGGCATATGCTTTCAAGGTTTGTAACAGTGCCATATTTCTCCAGCGGTGAGAATACTTACGTTGTGAGTGGTCAGTATACATTAACTGATAATGAAACATAGTTATTAGTTAAAATAGAAATATTCACTGGTGGTTTGATTTTTTTTTTTTTTTTTTTTTTTCACAGAAGTGGAAAAGACCAAATGCCAGCGTGAACGAGAAGTAGCTCTTGGAAGTGGAGGCACTTTCTTCCCATGGGAGATAAGAGTTGGTCAGTTCATTCCCCAGTGTGATGAGCGTGGGAACTACCTCCCCACTCAGTGCCATTCTAGCACTGCATATTGTTGGTGTGTGGATCGGGACGGAAATGAGATTGATGGCACCAGAAGCGGCCCGGGAGTTCGACCACCATGTAAGTGGCTGATGTACTTGTTTCTTCTGGGTGTCCCTCCCTTCAAATGCATTGTTTCCCAAATGTGGGGCTTACTCATACACCTCAGATATAGCACTGTCTTGGAGCAATGCAGATCTTTGCTGTCCCAGTGATGATATGCCTTGTGCTGCAGCCCTTTGGTAACTCCAGCATACGCTTTTCCTTCAGCCAGGGCATCTGGACAGCTGTGGTGAGCCTCTGAATAAGAAGATGGTTTTCTGACTTCTTCTCTGCCTTGAAACTGTGAGAGGCCCCTATAGTTTCTGCCCTCTGGGAGTTGTGGCAAATCTGAATGTGTGGTAACTGACTTGCCTCAGGAAATGAAGGATGTTCCTTCCTACATCTTCCTTGCCTCAGCTGCAAAATAAGATCGGTTTTTCTAAACATTTGAAGGAAAGAGCAATTACAGAGCTAAACATGAAAAGACCTGTTATGTCAATTGCTGCTTCTCTGTCAGCCAAGGGGAAAAATTCAGAAGCTTTCTGCATCTGATTATGGTTATTAGTGTCTGCATACAGGGCTATTTCCCTCTAAGAAGTCTGGCTGTAATTGTGTCTCTGCAAATAACAAGGAGCCTTGTTATACTGTACAAGCTAATTTTTTCCCCATCTGTTTCCTTCTCTATTAACAAGGTCTGAGCACAGCTGCTCCTCCTGTTGTTATTGGGCCCTCTGTTCGACCAGATACAGTACCTCTGCCACCAGGAACGCACTTGCTCTTTGCCCAGAGTGGTAAAATTGAACATGTTCCACTAGAGGGAAACAATATGAAGAAAAATGGTGCAAAAGCACTCTTGCATATTCCAGTAAGTAACCTACTATACTAAGTACATGTGTTTTAGAAGACTTGTGACAAAGATGGAAGTGAGAATGTTTGTCTATGTAATTTGATAATTTATGTTCCAAACTCAATTTTTACTCTTGATTAACATTTCAGTATCCCATCACTTTGTCACTGAAAATTCCTGATCTGACTAGTTAAAAAGCCTCAAACTGAGCTGTAGGAAAAATGATTTGCCTGTAAAGAATAGCTCATAAGACAAAAATCTAGTATTTGTGATCCCACATGCCTCCAACAGTTCATCATATAAACTTTCCTACACTCACACTTCCATTGGCTTTCTGACTCTGGTATAAAAGTCTAGGAGACCTATAAGAGCAGTATGTTGAGAGGCCTTTTTTTCTCTCTTGCTCCTTCAAAGTTTCTCCAAAGTCTTAATCTCTTCCTGTTTTTCAGTCAATTCTCTGCACTTCTTGGCTACAGATATATATATGATTATTTTTCTTCTTTTTTGCTTCCTTCTCCATATGCAGGCCCAGTGGGTGGTAAATCTTTTTCCTACACTCCTCACTACTGTCTTGAAATCTTTTTTGCTTGAAAATGGATCCCTGATGCTGAGAACCTATCTTTTTCGTTACCTGTGACACATGCCAATTGTCCTCACTTCCAGTTTCATCACATTCATTTGTTTTGCCCGAAGCCTGCGATCTCCGTTTTCATTCCAGTGTTACTGTATTTATAGATAGCAATACCAGGTAGCATGCTGGCCTCTTTTTCACATTACTGTGAATATTTAGTAGACCAAATACTGACTAAATTACACAGATTCAGTTCAATAAATAGTACCGCAAACTGTCTCAGTGTTATGTATTTGCAAAGTGACAATGTTTAGCAGCGCAGAGATGTGGAGATTGTTCTTTAACCTACAGCATTAATGTATGCTGATGAATAAGTGCATCTGTTTTAATGCATAGTTTTGGATCATGTTCCCAAGAAGTTGCAAGTTACAAAAGCAGCAAAGGTGATAGACCTGGGAATCCATGTGAAATTATTGTTCCATCTTGAAAGTCTCTTTCATTTGCTTGGAGGAAAGAGTTTCAACTCCGAACTCTAACTCTAGTCCTATCTTCTTCTTCCTGGAAAATTGCATATATATGTTGCTTGTCCCTGAGCATATTCTTTTCAGTAGAATGATTTATGGAGTATTTGTTTAAACTATTTTTTATTTTAAAAACTGATTTTACCAGAACTTTTTTGAGTTAAATGATGCTACATAAGTGGCACTGCTGAAGTGCAGCCATCATGCATGGGTTGGTGAATATACAGAACACAAGCCAGATTTGACAAAAGTAATTATTCCTCCTTTAAGGGAAAGAAAGGTAGAAAAAAGCTCATGACGAATAATACAGTAAAATGACAACATGAACTTTCTTTGAATGGGTATGCAGGTGAAGTTGTAGAAGTGAGACAAACTGCTCAGTAGTAATATCTACAATGCTTTGTTGAAATAAGATAATTGTAAATAATGTCTGCTAGTTAAAAAGGACTTATAATTGAAAGTATTTTTTTAAGCTGCTCTAAAATGATTGCCACCCAATCATTTTCTCTGCCTGTCCTCACCATGTCCTACCTTTCCTCAAGAATTTGGGGGTTTTTTTTGGCTTGAAACTCAGATCCATAGCTAGTGCTGCTGGCAAATTATTGTTGTTTAGCATAAGCTGATGTAATTTCCTTGCTGACCAACAGGACAAAGTTGTTATCGGAGTTGCTTATGATTGCACAGACAAGATGGTTTATTGGACAGACATCAGTGGCCCTTCGATCAGTAGGGCTAGTCTGCATGGTGGGGAGCCAACAACCATCATCAAAACAGGTAACAGCAAAAAATTCTTTCTCTTGCTGCTCCCTAGGAATGGAATTAGAGAATTGCATTTTGCAGTGTATACTTCCCACGTGTTACCTGAGCTTCAGCATTACAAGTTGGTGTTATTTGGATACACAATAACCAAAAAGTCTGATTAACGTAAAATGAAAAAAGATCAGTTCCTTGTGCAAAAGCCCTTCACTGCCTTTCCACTGCTAAGATAGGCAAGAAGTGAGTTCTCCTTAAATAAACTAAGTTTAAGGCCAGAAGTGGGAGCAGCATGTCAGTGAGATGTTTCTGTCCTTACTTGCAGGATACTGTATCTGTCTAACCATTGAATGTCTTGTGAACATCTGTGAGGACATTTTAATTGAAAGCTGAGGGATTTGAAAGATGAATCAAGCTACTATGGTTGTTTTGGATCGCATCTCAAGGCATTAATGAGCGTTCAGAGTCTCAAAGTCTGGGCTTTGAACAGTGTCTCAGCTCCTCATAGAAATGTTTAGAGGATTTCTGTACCTGATTACAGTCTGAGGGTGTGCTTATATTCTCACTGTGTTTAACAAAGAAAAAAACCTCCTCCTTTGGATGCTTTGTCACTTCTGGGGAGGAATCTTGAGGTAGGCTTGAGGCCTTTACTGCTCTCTACCTGTGGTGGCATCCTTAGGGCTGCCACTGTAGTGGGGCAGTACAGCTAGCACTCTCAGGGCAAATCCCCAGGTCATGACATCTCACATTTTTAAAGAGCACTCAAGACCTCCCTTTTCTGTGTTGAGTCTAGATAACATAAAAGACTCTGTGTGTGCTATGTTGTGCCCAGCCTGGCAACCTTTGTGTAGCCCACCTCTTTTACAGTGATGTCTTTTCAACCATACAGATCAGAAAGGGTGTTCCAGCATCCTTCCTGAACAGGTCGCATGTCCCTGGCCATGAGGAACGGAACACGTAGGTAGGCTAAGCTCAGACTACTGTAGATAGATGTTATTCATGCTTACAATGATGCAATGAATGCAAGATGTAAATATGTGAAGAACGAAGGTTATCTTTGAAACCTAGGTCATGTGTTGGGGTAGACCCATCGTTATTCAATGTATTTATGATCTGAAAAGGGGATGATGGATTGTCAGTTTGCTATTGAATGGATATTGAACACAATCAAAATAAAGCTGATTAAAGAGTAGCATTTAAATGTTCACATGGAATATCATCTGTGGGTGTCACTTTTTGATTTTTCTTCCGGTAAACAAGGTAGGTAGTCCACTGGCTAGCTGAGATTTGGTTATGTGTAGTTCTTTTCTCTCCTGTTCTCTGCCTGTCAGCTGGTGAGGAGGGAAGTTGAAGAGGAGAACCCCAGCTCTCTGTTCCTGGGCTTGGGGATCAAACAGCTGAGAGGTGGTTAGAAACTGTTTCAGCTGTGACTTTCTGTGCCTCCCACTCAAGCTGTAAAATAAAAGTGAGTAAAACCACCTTGTTTGGTTTTTGCCCTTGGAGTTGCTCAAGGATTTAAGAATTGGACTAGTGAATATTGTGGGGTTAGTGCTTTTACAGTTTATGTCCTGTTTTTGTACTCTTTCCTCCAAGACTCTACTGCTTAATGCAGTCCATGTTCACTTCTTTAGGAGGGTAGGTATAAGCCCATGCATCTTAAATACGAAAACGTTTTCTAAATGGTAAAGGTTAAGGGGAAGGACAGGTTTGGAGAACAAAGTGAATGTGTGGGCATTAAAAAACCGACGACAAAAGTAACTGGAGGCACTTGTTGATTCTTAGCATCCTTAGGATTCTAGAACACCTGTGAAGTCAAGATACTAGAGAAGATTGCCTTTGCTTTGGATCCTTTGCAGCTATTGTCACAAGAATTCAGGAAATTATTTTAGAAAAATGATCAATCAGTTTTAAAACTCTGCAATAAATTTGCTTTAGTTTTCTTTGGATGTGTTGTCTCTACTTGGAGTTTGTGCTTCGGAATAGCCACTTTGCTGAGACTCCATTCAGGCTTTTAAGGGCAGCAGAGAGATGAGTGCAGCTTGGATCGTACCGTTGTCCTCGGAAGTGAAAAGGAAGACCTTAAGGCCATCCCTAACCATTACAGCAATTATGGAGCTTCATATTTCTGTACAACTTTATGGCAGAGATATTTGTAAGACTTCTTTTTCATCCCAACATACTTAATCTGAAAGGGACTCTAACCTGTGGTGCAAGCATGTGCCTGTACAACTACAAATTTTGTAGGTAAAGCATTTCCAATTTCCACTATTAAGGGATTTTCTCAGATTCCACACTTTAAAAAGTGAGGGAAATTACTATTTCTAAAAATGTTACATGGATATGAATTAGTCTGTCTAGTGAGAGCACATGCGCATGTGCTAAAAATCTTGCAGTGTATAAAATGTTTTAGAAATATTTATGAAGACTTTCAAATAAATTTGATTATTTTAGATAATTCAAGATGCTTTAATGCCACATGGAAACCACACGGTTTTTATCTGCTGCAAAAAACGTTGTATGTGTAAAGACATCTTATGGTTTCTGTTGTCCTGTTGTTTGCAGAGGAAGTGAATGCCATTCCTGAAGATATGTTGAGTGACGTTGCACTTTACTTTCTGTATGTTCACTCTCCCTTCAATAAGGAGTCAGACCAAAAGAAGGTTGAATATTCAGTATTTGAATGAATGTCTTCTATGCTGGCCAAAACTGAAACTTTAAAATTTCAGGAAACAGGAAAATGCTTCCCTCTCAGAAGACTCATGAGACTTCTTTGTTTTGTTTTGATCTTTGCCTTTTTTCTCCTGTGAGCTGCAGCTGCTTTCTTCAGTTCACATGTATTTTTGTGGAATGCACTACTTTTTTGTTTGTTAAAACTCCTGTGATCCAAGTTGTGTTGCTTTGCAGAAACATGTTTTATTGTGGACCCCTATCCAGTTCTCATCTATCCCTGCAGCTGTATAGCCTGTGGAGGTTTTCTGAGCTCTGCAGCTGGGGAGGCAGGTCGGGAAGGAGAGCTTTCCTCTTTGTTGTAGTTGCTTAAGTCGTATTGGCCATACATGTCTGTGCAAGTCTGTCCCCAGGGACAGAGCCTGATGACAATATAGCAGGAACACATTTGTGCTTCTGGAAAGACTGGTGATACATGAAGCCTATATATTCCATTACCCCTCCATGGGGGATAGTTTTTTCTGGCTCACTGTCAACCAGACAAGAAAGACACTTATTTTAGACTTCTTTAAATGTCCTGGCATATAGCTAAAGAAAGGAAGCTAGTCAAGGAACAGGGGCTCCTGGGAATCAGTGGCAGCAGATCTTTTGCCTGCTACTTTCTGTTTCCTAAAAGAGGCTGGGAGCTCCTCCACCACCATTTAGTCAGTGATCTTCTGATCCCAGAGACTGGGGATTGTCACCACCATCACCTCAAAATGAGGCCACTCTCAGTAGCCTCTGCCATTAGCAAGAAAAGAAGTAGGAACATTTGAGGGTCTCAGGTAAATGTGAAGTGGTTTCTTGCAGATGACAGATTTAGCTCCACAGAGGCACTTGGAGAAATACAAGGAGTAATGTGAAGTCAGTGTAACTAAAGTATGCCCAGATACCCTTGAGAGTAGTAAAGAGATAACTGATTCACTTTTACTTTCTTGAGCCCCACCCCATGTATGAGTTGTGAGATACATCTTATTTGTTCTTTTCTGCCTCTTGAGCAATGAATATACATCCAAAATGTCATCTGTCCAGGTTTAGTGTGGTAGGTGTAATCCACCTATGTGAGAGCGCAGAGGCTGTTTAGGCTGTTGTGCAACTACTATTCATAGCAAAGTCACAGGAGCAAATTTTAGACAGCTCTACCCAGTGCTGTGGACCAAATGTGTTTTCTCCAGAAAGGTTGTTTGTCTTACATACTGTTTGCTTAATGGCTGTCAGTAAATAAGCTTGAGAATTAATAGAAAGCTAATGGGCCAAATTTCCTCATTCTTAGGTATTTACATGATGTGTGGATCTGCATTTGAAAGGTTGTTGTTGGTTTTTTTCAACAGCTGGCTGATGTGAAGGGTCACTTCACCTCTTTTTGGGAGTGATCACATACAATTCTTTCTTTTTCTATTGGAGCTGAAATTGGACTAAAATTTATTTGTATCTGTCTTTGGCTTCATTACATTCCAAAAAGCCTGCCTGCTCTTTTAAATAGATATATGAACCTTGAAAAGTGTAGAACAGTTTTTCATGATGGCTGAATTAAACCTTGGAGTGCTATGTATTTATTCTGCATCCTTCATCTGAGTTAGAAATTACTAATGCTAAAGCAGTAAGGTCATTATCTGCTATTTCCTGTTGCTTTTGGAACAACTAACTGTCCAAGAAAAACTGTGCACATACAGTACTAAAACATGTTCCAAAAAGAGTTGCTCTGCAAAAACAAATAACTGGAATTAAATTCCATCAGTTAGCTAATATCATTGTCTCTAGTGTCTTAGAGTTATCTTTAAGTATTGCGTTGGCTAAACTTTGCATAAATTGAGTTTTCAGAGGGGTGCCAGGTATGCCAGTACCACAGAAGGGAAAATAGTAAGGATTATAAAATCCATTCTAGATCTTGACCTGCTAAGGAGAGTAGAATAAGATTCGGATAATCTCTACTGTGTGTTTCTCTGCTATCAACTCTTTTTCTGTGTCTGCCCCTAGAGGAGAGCTTACATGCATGATGAATTGGTTCCTCATAGAATTTGTCATTCTATGTATTTATGAAAGTTCTGTGTATTTCAGCTTCGTAAGACAAAAGGTGTATTCCTCTTCCAGCTGACATGAAGGAGCTTTTGTTGCACCACAGCCAGAAAAATGAAGAAAACTTATTTCGGTTAAGAGTTATGCTTATGAGGCTGACATTGTGTATAGGGAATAAATATAATGCCTAGGCATGTTTTTTCTCTGATCTCCTGCAGATTTGGGAAGCCCTGAAGGCATAGCTGTAGATCATCTAGGTCGCAACATCTTCTGGACTGACTCTCAACTAGATAGAATAGAAGTGGCTAGGCTGGATGGGCGCCAGCGTCGCATCCTTTTTGACACCGGCCTGGTGAACCCCAGAGCAATTGTTGCAGATCCTATGAGAGGGTAGGTGTATGTTGTCAAGAGACAAGTGCAAAGCTTGATTTTATGTATGTGTGTATTTATTTATTTAACACAAGTGTATACTCTAAGTCCATGTTTTCAGACTGTTTGTAGACAACAATAGGACTATCTTTGCCTAAAACAACTAACAAACGGAAATGGAAAGATCTGCTTGTGTCCTGTGTCAAAGTGGTACACGAGAAATAAAACTTCTAAAATGCGTGCTAGGTAACACTGCGATATTTTGCTGAGAGGTTTATCAAATACTTATTTGTACCTCGATTTCAGTACGTTGTTTGCAGGATGACAAGTGTTGCCCTTACCTAAAAATCTTTTTTTTTTTTTTTTTGGGGGGGGGGGGGGGGTAAGATTACTGGTCTAAAATACTAGATTAAGCAATCATTTTTCATTTCCATCATGACAGCCCTTCTTCCTGTACAGTGTTCCTTCTTTGAAAACTCCCATGGTGGCTCTTCTGCCATCGTTTTCACTTCTGTCATTCAGTTGCCTGAGAAGGTCCTATTAGGCTTCTATTTGAAGATGCAGATAACTACATACTTTAAAAATTGAGCCTGTAAGATGCAGTCACAGAAATAGCCAAGCAGAGTGTCAGTAGGAAAGTGTAAACATTTTCATGTTACGGCTCCAGCCTGAAAAAATGGAATTATATGCATAATTTTATGTAGTCTTTGATATGTTGACATTTTTTCTCTGAATATTGGAAGAAATACAGGAAAATTAAAACTAATACAGAATCCATGGTAGTACTACCTGTCCATTAATGTCTGAACTTGCCTGCTGTTGTTCTGGTGCGACTTTCTGTAGCATGGCCACTGCTGAGAAGAGACACTTCAGTCAAAATACTCTGAAGCACAGAAGCAAAGGGTCTTTCTTTTCATTCTTGAGTTGCTGGGAAGCTCTACTAAATGTTTGCTTAATTGATATAATAGGCATTTGGAATGCTCTTACGTGAGAATTCATTTATAAACAAAGGTACTATATTTCTCGGGGAAAGACTTTTGGAAGGTGCATCCTCATTTCAGATGTTTGTAAACAAGTTTTGTAGTGAGAAAAGAATGCATGTTATCCATGAATATTTGAGTGATAGAAAATGAAATGAAAAGTAACAGTACTGACTTCTCTAATTCCTTTAACATAAAGTAAACTTTTACTTAATAGTCACATAATAGTGGGGTGGAAACATCCGTAGATGTACATCGAGTGACAGCATAACAAGGAAAAATGAATGCACTTTGTGGTGTGAGAAAAGGGGAGAAGTACAAGGGTAATCAGATTGCGGAGAGACGTCTGCTCTGTGCAGAACTCCACTGGCGGAGTAGGGCTCTGGATTCAGGTCAGGCAGTATGGACATCTTAGTAGATTTTGCATGTATATGTGTTAAGTAAACAACAAAGGTGCTTGTGTTGAGGGGCCAGGTAAATTCTCAGCCACAGAAAGTGCATCGAAAGGCCTGAGCAACCTGATCTAGTTGGAGATATCCCTGTTCCTTGCAGGGGGGTTGGACTAGATGACCTTTGAAGGTCCCTTCCAGCCCTAACCATTCTATGATTCTATGATTCTGTGAAAGGAAAAAACAACCAGTAACAAATGACTGTTAATAGTAAAGCATCAGTGAATTAATTCTCCTCTGACTGTAAACTACTCTGATTCCATTGTATGTTGCACACTTGGTGCACTGAAAAGAAAAATGTAGCTTTGAATGAATCCCACAAATGTACGCTGAATGCTCCTGCTTGCTTAGCCTGAGCAGACACAATGGGCAGTGAGAACTGTGGATGTATGTTTTGAATGGTCCTCAGAACTGTTGAAATAGAGGTATAGAGGTCTCTTTGCCTGGCATCTTGCACTTAACCTAAACAATGTAGAAAAAACGTTTCTTCTCAGGTGTGTGCTTTCTCTTTTTGTTTTTAACGGAAGTATAAAATTTGCTAAATCTTTACTGTATTTTTGTTACTTCTATATCAAAGTGCAATGTAATCCTTCTTTTTTATTTGAATGATTTAGAATCTTAGAACAGAATCATAGAATTGTTTAGGTTAGAAAAGATCTTTAAGATCATCGAGTCCTGCTGTTAACACTTAGAGGGCATGCGTGTTACTTTTGTGCCTTCAGCATTTTCCTTAATTACAAAAATCTTTTGAGATCAGTCACTGTCTTAATTCTTGCATTTTTCTTCTTCAGAAACTTATACTGGACTGACTGGAACAGAGAAGCTCCTAAAATTGAAACCTCATACATGGATGGCACAAACAGAAGAATTCTTGTTAAAGATGATCTTGGGTTACCAAATGGGCTGACATTTGATCCTTATTCCTCAATGCTGTGCTGGGTAGATGCAGGTAAAGAGGTGCTAAAATCTTTCTTCATAACAGTAGTAGAATAAGTGTGTCTGATCCTGAAATTATGCACAGCCTATTGATGTTTATAGCTCTTTGGGCTGCATCTCAGAATTCATGCCTTTCTTTTTGGTTTGAATAATCTCTCAATTTACTTTTTAAAACCACTGTGACATTGACATGAGACTGTGTGCAAGCTGAAAGATTTCAATTCGGATCACAAAACTTTCTAGCAATACAACAGGCTTATATCTGTGTGTCTGGTCTGTGGCTGTCTCTTTAGGTGGTGCTTAGGCCTTTATAGAACAAGTTGTGAGTTTAAGACCAGGAAAAAACACTGATTCATCTAATCTGGCCCTACAGAATGTCATCCTGGCACTATTGTTTTAAGACCTGTAACCTTAGGCAAAGTCTGGCTTATGTTTGACTGAAGAAAGTCTTGAAAGAGCAATTCATACTAGATTTAAAAATCAAGAGATGAAGGTTCTGCCACTGACCCATTGTTAGTTTAGTGCTAGTGTCTTACCAGTTTAAGAAAATGTGTGCTTTTAATTCTCATTTGAACTTTTTTTTGCATTTTGCTGTCTTTCTCCCTGTAGACTTTGCCAGAGATCTCCTCCTGTATAGGTGCTTTTACACTTCAAGTCACCTTTCAAGTTCTTGATAAACTAAAAAGATCAAGCTCTCTTTCACTGTAAGACACTTTCTCCGACCTTCAAACATATCTCCTTGTGGTATCTTTCTTTTTTCTCTCTCTCTCTCCCCTGTTCTTGTGTTTGTCTCTTTTCCTTTTTCTCTGATTTTGAAACCCACTACTTAAGAGAAACCTACAGGTGTTTACACTCACTAGCAGTGTTCCCAATGTGTATAGTAGCTTTACAGCTAGAACTTTTTGCACCCTACGTAGAATTTACACCCACATCTAGAAGTTAGATATTCTTTCTTCAGTCTTGCCTTCATGGCCCAACCCAGCAAGTGTTTTGGGAACATGCTCACCAAACTAACTTTGCAAAAATGCCTTCCAGAGAAGCTGGAACTGGTCAATGTTTGAAGTATCCCTCTAGAATGGAGGAGACTTTCTGTCAACTTCCACACCAGCCCGAGGATGCTGATATTGTAGCCAGAATCTCAGCTTGTGAGCAATGGCCATGGCTGCACTAGACATCTGTGTTCCTGTAAATTAGGTGGTGTGCTGATTAGCATTAGCACCAAAGTACTTTTCCATCCAGTCTTTGGTGCACACAGACAGATGTGCCATGGGGGAGAGCTTTGGCTAAGCAGCATACTGAAAGACCTCTAGGAAGTTTTACTCTGTTCATGCTTGCATGCTTACGCTTGTCCTTCATTCCTCATGAGAGCTCTCTTGCTCTGGTTCAAAGACTTAATTGTTTCACTACACCCAGGTACCAAGAGGCTGGAATGCATGAACCCTAATCAGCTTGGTCGACGAAAGATTGTTGAAGGAATTCAGTATCCTTTTAGTGTTACAAGCTATGGGAAGAATTTATACTACACAGACTGGAGAAGGTATGTTATCGGCTAATCTGCTAAAGGAATTATGGAGTGCTTTAATCTGTTCTTCTCCCTGGTAGAAACTGAAGTATATACTGCATTTCTCATGTCTGACCTCTGACACGTTCCTGGTTTTTCGCTTTCCTGGCAATAGCTGATGCAGGGTAGAGTGGATCTGTAGAGTTGACCTACTGATGTTGCCAGTTAACTGAGTTTTCATTTTCAGCATAGTGATTTGGCCTCTAAGAGAATGCTTTTAACGCTGAGCATTTTTGGGAAAGGAGTGGGAGCTAACATGTTTTTCCTTATGGCTGTACTTGCTGCATTGTAGAGGGCAGAAACTCGTCACTCATGGCATTCTACACCCTATATTATCTGAATGTTCAACCAGAAATAAAAGAAATATTTTTACTGTCTCTATGACACTTCCTTTGTTGCAAATGATCTAAAACACTGACATATGATGAGGAATTTAAAGTTTACTATATTTTCCTCCATGCGTTTTTAAATTTTTATTTTTCCTTGATGTAAATAGTTAAGTGGGCTCTATCTGCAAACTCTTACACAAATGACTCCATCAATTGCAGCAGGAAGATCTATTAATATGTGTAAGAATTTCCAAGCTAGAACATAACAGCTGGGAAATGCTATTCTGGTATAGGCTTGTATAAATGGGAAACTGTGTTACAGATCTCTCAGTTGACTGCCCTTTTATTTTTAGGAAGAAAAGATTGCTTTTGACTAGCTGTATTTCTTCCAGATATTAGGCTCCACCTGAAATACAACATTGTCCATAATCATTATGCATAATAGCTGCAATGGCAAGTAAAGCACAAAAAATGTCAGAGAGGCAGCATATGGAGAATGTGTCAACACTACTAACAGATATGTTCCTGTAGAGGGACATTGTCCTGTGTTGGAATTACCTTCAAAATTAGTAAGGTGGCTCCCTGCTAGATTTCTTAGCTGCCTCGACTGAAGGTTATGACGTATTTGAGTTGTCCAGAAAAGATGAAGTCTTGGAGGATTTTGCTTCTGACATCACTTCCTAATTGTAAAAAAGAAGCAACTTCAGATTTCTTCTCTTTTCTTCTCTTTTGTTTTGTTTTCCCCTGTACTTCCACCTTCATCTCACTTCTGTATATTCTCTTCTGCACACGACAGAGATGCTATTGTAGCAGTGGATCGCACAATTTCAATAGAAAAGGATAACTTCCAGCCTCACAAGCGCTCCCGTCTCTATGGAATCACAACAGCCTTTGCTCAGTGCCCAGGAGGTAATCCAGATCATTCTCAATTTTTTACAGCTGTGCAACACCTTAGTGTATAAATGAACCTAGCAACTCGCATTGATAGGCTGCCAGCTGATCTAGGTAGCTAGTGAATAACTGGTCAGTGCTTGGATTTCCATTACTAAGAAGTTAAAAGCCACCTGTTTTTTTACTCATAAAAGCAGTTGTTGTGGTAGCCATATTAATCCAGAATAGGGAGGGAAGAAGGGGCATGTTCTATCCTTTATGAAAAGACAAGTGTACAATCAAGATGAGGATCTCACATGGCAAAAGCTGCTATGTTGTCATCATCTAAATCGAATGCTATATTCATGGCTAGAGCCTTATTTACCTATTTTTAATTTTAAACTACAGAAATAGCATGGTCTTCCAGATGTCCTTAATGAGTTCCTGTGTTTTTAAAAAGGGAATGTTCAGAAAACAGCAAGTGGTAGAGGAGCAGGTCTGGTTTTTCTGTTCCATTGAATGTTAAGTTTTTTAGATATGTTATTGAAAAATCCCTTGTGAAGCTTAGAAGAGAGGAAGTTGATACCATTGAAATAACAATTTGTCCTTGGGGAAGCAATATCACTGTTCAGTTATGTTATTCTTAGCAAATCACAGTTAGGAGAAGAGTTTACTTTTTTATTATTACAATGTAGCTGGAATTATAGAAGTTGTGGTATTTTTACTTTAGGCCTAAAAAACCCCTAAGATAATTTCTCTTTGAATTATTCAATATATAGTAAAATACATACTTTAATTGGAAGCTTGGTTCAGAGCTTAAAAATGTATATAAATGTCATAATTAAGAAACCGGTTACGTTGTTATTACTAGTTAATTCACCGTTCCATTTTAGTAGGCAGTGTAAAAGAAAACAACATTGTGTGCTCTGAGTAAATGCTTATGTTTATAATATTCGGAACCTTGATATCATTTGTTTCTCGTCATGCGTCTATTTCAAGTATTTTTCTGGGACAGATGCCTTTCCCCTCAGGTACACTGCTTCTGGCACTCCCTTCACTTTCATTTTACTCTTCAACGTTAACACACTCCTCCCCACCAACCCAATTTTTATTTTCATGAGTCATTCCTCAATGTTTTTGTTGTGAGTGGAATCCAGGGGTGATACCGTGTAGCATTTTGGACTTCGTCCCCGTGTTACACTTTCTGGTTTTCCTCATTCAGTGTCTCTTCATTCTAATGTCTGTGACCACTTGGCCAGTTTATGAAGGGCACTTCAAGAACAGCCCAGTTTTTTTCATGTTGCCTCTCCTGCTCTGTCCCAATATCTTGATCTTTCTTTGAGGTGAATATTGGAAGCTGACACAAGGGATATGATAACTCTCATCTCCCCAAAGCATAGTTTTGTTTCACTCTCAATCTCGTTATGGCTTGTTTCTCTAGTGTAGTCATGAAATCTGCACTTCTTTTGTATGTACATGTTTTAGATTTTATTGTGTTTTTGCTTTGGTTTTTTGTTTAACATTTGACATCTCTGTTCTTTTGCAGGACATAACTACTGTACAGTGAATAATGGTGGTTGTACTCACCTCTGCTTGGCTACCCCAGGAGGCCGTTCTTGCCGCTGCCCTGACAACACAGTTGGAGTGGATTGTATAGAAAGAAACTGAGAATTAAAATAAGCTTTAAAGCCGCAGACACCTTTTGAATATGTGCTGTAAACATTTCACTCCTATCAACACAATCAGGCCCTGAAGATAAGTGTTCCATGCTGCTGACAGCAAGCCACAATGCGCATATGCAGACGCGAACAGGGGCAATGACTGTTTTGTAGCAGTTAGGCTAGACAGAGCTGCCCAGGTTGGGTCCAACTGCATCTTGTTCCTTATAATAGTATCTTCTTGCTTTTAAAGGTAAATGTGGAGGCCTTACTTACACCTCTGCTGGGCTAGGACAATGTGTCTCTTGGCAAAATTAAAGTAACAAATACCAGATAGAGTAAAGAGGATGGCACAAGTCAAGTCTTGAGACTGAGATATAATACCTCAGAGTATGCAACAGTTATCTGCATAATGGCATGCTTAGCCCGTTGTATACATGGCTGGACCATACTTCTAGCTGAGAAGAAACCAGGGGGTCCCAAAGGTGAATAGATGTGGGTGGGAATGCCCAGCACTATCACAAATTTAATACCCAACTGCATTCCTTCCCATTATCAGTCGTTCCACTTCCAAAACTTGAATCTCAACTTTTGACTCTTGTATTACAGAAATACTTTGTCGATGTGCTGTGAGAGTAGTTCTCACCCTAGCTCTTGTGATCCTTTCCCACAGAACGTGATGCTTTATAGATAATCAACACTGCTTAGTGGATGTATTTGAAGTTTTTGTTGAATTTTGAGAGATTTGTTTTTCTTCTGAGGTAGATTCCTGAGTAGTTTCCTAAAATCCACTCAACAGACTTTAGACATAGATCTCAATTGCTGATAGTTCATCAAAGAATGAGTGTTGGTTCATTTTTGAGGTGTTTGGTTTCAAAGACACACACAGTCATATTTGTTTCCTGAGAGCTTTTAAAATAATTTTTCTATGTTTGATTCTATAAGCCTGAAAGCAGTCTTTGAATTCTATCCTAGCAAACTTTCTTCTTTAGCAAACCATGCCATGCTTTTTCATAGAACCATGAGAAATCATGACAGTTAAAAATCTGGTTTGGAGAAATGTCAGCTCTGTCTTGGTGCTTAAAAGAAAAGAGCTAGTGATGCCCCATTTGTGTGACAGTGTTAAGTAACAGCCAACAGACGTGCTGAAAGTCAAAGCAAAGTTGTTTTCATCATCACCAGTAAGTTTAGAGCAGGGAGGGAAAATAAAAATGAATATTCTTATGTTAAATTAGCAGTACAAATCTGGGAGTGAAGTTTGGCTTCCACACTGTGTGTTAGGAAGGAAGCTTACCCACAAGCCAACTTGCAGCAGCAAAGCAAAACAGGGCTTGTGAGGCTTCTGCCAGAGCACATTTCACAATGTCGTGATCAGAGCAGTAAGCTAACAAACCCATTTCCTCACTTCCTCTTCAGACACAACAGTAAGAGTTTTAAACAGAGCCAATTCTGTGTCTTAACTGTGTGACATCTTCCTCTTAAATTGTGTATTTATCATAAAATAACAAAGCATATAAACATTTTAAAGATTTTTTTGTATAACTTTTTATAACTTTTAATTCATTTTATTCGTACACTTAATCAGGTATGTCTTACTGTAAACATCAAAAACGTGTTGAAATGAAGGTGCTTGATAACTCTTTCTCCAGAATTATTCACGTATCTGGTGAAATATTAAAGTTTACACTCTGTACAGGTATCTACAGTCAATAAAAATTTTTGGTTTTTATTTTCTATAAAAAAAGTAAGTCATGCCTGCGGAAGGAAGTGATATGTGGTGTCTCAAATCTCTTTTCCTACTGAGTTCTGGGTTTTAGCTAACTCTCATATCTAGTGATGATAATTTCTCTTCTAAGATGCAACACTATAGGGGAAAAACTGCTATTGGGGCCTTTGTATTTTGAAAACCAGTAGGATACTTTTATTCAAAACAAATATGTGAGAGCACTTAAAGAACATACAGCTTCCCCTCTTTTGACACAGATTTGTCACTGGTTGTGAACTCTTGTTTAACTTTGTCAGGTAAGCATAATTCAGTTATACCATTCTGCAGACTTCTACATTAGTTGGAATATAGGGCAAGGAGTGGATTAAATGGGAGACAATTTATACCTTTGCTCAAAGATGCCCTGGTGCCGAGTTTCTAGGTGATGGGGTGCTTTGCTGCCTGGTGCCACAACAGGCAGGCTCTGTGTGTGGCTGCAGGTGTGCTGTGGCTGTAGGGCAAGTTGCAAGCTAAGTGAAGTGTGGCCTGCTGGAGATGGTAATGCTGAAATTTAAACTCCTCAACTTTTACAGCTACAGCGTGTCAGTGCCTCAAGGGATGGCAAAGGGCTCTGTAGTACTGTGTAGATGGACAGCTGGAGAACAGCGTGCCTATCAAGTGAGCCATTGGAAAGGCAGACGGTGGGGCAGAAAGGACAGCTACTGGGATCTAAAGGGTGGTGTGTGGAGTTATGGGAGGAGATTGGTGTTGATCTGTGCTGGGGACTACACATGGAATTGGAGAGAATTGAGCCTTTAGTTCGTGCTTTGCTGTATGCATTGATTTTTTTTTTATTCTGATCCTTTAAAATTGATGATTGCCTGCTTTATATTTGGACCAACACAATATTCCTCTTTGTGCATTATGACAATTACTCATTTACTAAACCCCAGTCAGCTAATTCTGTGCTAATCAGTGAGCAATGACAAAGATGTCAAGGGAAGTACACCTCAGCAGAACTTCTAGTGTTAATGTGTGAAATCCTATGTAGTCTGTAGGACAAAGAGAGAAACGATATTACTGTGGACTGAATTTTTTAGACTGAGTGACTCTGTTAACTCTGGTATCACATCTGACAGTAGATAGCCCTAGATTAGGGGAAGCTTTAGCAGATCTGTGCCAGCAGTGTACATGTGGCAGTTTACAGAACTTAAAAGCAACCTTCAGCATTCGAGTCCCTAAAAATGAGGAAGTTTTTAAAAGCTCAGACATCAGGTTTTGTTTCCCAACAAATACCTGTTGCTACCTTCTGCTGTTGTAGCTCTATGTCAGAGTGCAGCAAGGGCAAAGCTGTTACTGATTTGGTAGGTATCATGTCAGGTACTGAGCCTGATAGCAAGGCCCGCAGAAGCAGTGGCTTCACCAGCAAGTGACCGGTCCCACTGTACCCCAAGTGAGGCAGATAGTGCTGATGAGGGTAGTTGAGTTCAGCCCATGAGCCAGACCACCAAGCAAATCTGTAATGACAGGGTAGATCCAAAGTGACGTTTGGAAGTCGAGTCAGGATCAGGTCTGGACACAGTGACCAGGATCGGTGATTGCCAGTCAAGTCTGTAGTGGTGAGGCAGGCCTGCGGTCAAGCTGGGAGGTTGTCTAATATCTGGATCACTGTGGTGCATGGCTGTGGCACAGCTCAGGTGAGGACCAGGGTGAGAACCTCAGCTTTAAAGCAACCTTGAAAGGAAAGAGGGTTGCCCTCACTGGGGCACCTCAGCAGAGCTTCTTGAGGAAGAGCTTCTGCTGAAGTTCCTTCAAGTTTTCTTCATACCTTCTATCAACTGGCTGGCCTTGAACAGCCGGCTGAGCTGCTAGTGGTGGGAGTGTGCTCTGGGTCTTGACACTCTGGAGTTCTTTATTCCCATACACGTTTCCTTCTTCATTGAATCTTGCTAAATCTTTGGCCTCTAAATGATCTGTGGTGTTGAGTTCCTTATATTAATCACAGTCTGGTCAGGAATCTCATCCTTTGTTAGAATTTGGTATGAGCCATTTCAGGGTGTCTATCTTGTGCCTATCATGTTTTTCAGTTAAATGTTCACAAGTATTTTGAATGATAAAAATGTGGATTTTCTGTTTCCTTCTTCTAACCCTAGAGAACGGTATCTCTTAATGGCATCTCTTTATAACACAAGGTTTTCTCATGCTGGCCTGGGTCTAATTCATCTACCCAATCCTTTTTCAGACTATTGCTTATTAGTATCTGACTGCTGTAGTCTTGCTCAGGAGCAAGTAAATTTCAGATATATTTTTGCATTATGTTTTGGGTTAAAAAGGTAATAGAAAATAGGTTGTGTTTTATTTCATTATTAACATTATCTTTTTAGTATTATTACAATAGGCTGGGACTGATAATAATGTCAGTGTCTGATGCTGTGGTTGTTGAAGAAAAGATTCAGTGTAACTGCAGTTCACCTTTTTTGCTACAAAAGAATAGCAGATTCCCAGGTTTTCCAGGCAAGGAGAACAATTGCTTTAATGGTTAAACAAAAGACAAAATACTACTTAGATTTATTCAGAGGTAAGGTAAATGTTTTCTTAAATGCTTCCATTCAGATTTTCCAGCATACACAAAAATATTAATGATAAGACCATTAGTGATATTTATCAATGATGTAATAAGTTGCAAAAAAAGTGAAATCTAGTGGAAGTAGTACTGTCTTCCTGATGGCTTAGTGGGGTGGTTCAGCCACTTTTCTATCTGAAGGGTGTTTGAAAACCCTGACTTTACTCAATTTTTAACCTGTGAAGAACTCTCTCCTCATGGTAAAAATCCAGTGTGGCTTTCTGAAACCCAGCATCCTGTCCAGTGTTGTTCCAAGTTGGCAAACTGCTTGCTCTGCAGTTCTCCAATTGCACAGTTTTGTCACAACATATTAGATTTTTAACTCACATGCATATAATTAAGAATGACAGATGATTACTAGAGGATAATGGCCCCTCAATGGCAGTGTCACTATGCATCAGTTTAACCTATGGTTAAATGCAAACTGGTTTTTGTGTAGTATTTCATAGTGTATTGCTTGGAAAGCTTGCTGAAAAAAAAGCAGATTGTGAAACATGTATGGCTATAGAGACCACAGTTAGAAGCAGCCCCCTGCTTGGCTTGCTTGTAAGAACTAAATATTAACTCCAGAAGCCAAGTCCCCAGCTGAAGATCTGGCAGCAGTTTGTTCATCAAGTGATTGAATCACCTCCTTTGTTTAAATTCTACTCCACTTGAAATCTGTCCTTTATCTTAAAAATAAGTTTAGGACAGCATGTCAGTAAACAAGGTGAAAGATCAGTATATTGCATCCTGCTAACGTACATGTTGATGACTCTGGAGCTTTGCTTGACTAACAAAAGGCTCAGCGGCCAGTGGAATGCAGTGAGTGGCCTTCCCTGCTGCTTCGCTGCAAAGCAGATGGGGCTGCGGTAACTTAATGCTCTTCTTTTTTTTTCCAGAAATATTCTGGAGTTGATGAATGGGGACAGACTGCCAGTCCCACAAGTAGCCAGGATAGTGTATTTCAGCC